CTGCCTGGAACATAGTAGGAGTTCAATAACTAGCTGATGAATGAGAATGAATAAAACAACCAGAGTCTAGAGTTTAGATTCTATTTTTAATTTTTATTTTTTTAAAGATTTATTTATTCATGAGAGACACAGAGAGAGAGGCAGAGGCATAGGCAGAAGGAGAAGCAGGCTCCCTGTAGGGACCCTGATGGGGTACTTGATCCCAGGACCCCAGGATCATGCCCTGAGCCAAAGGCAGACGCTCAATCACTGAGCCACCCAGGCGTCCCTATTTTTACTTTTTAAAATATTTTATTTGCTTATTTATTTATTTGAGAGAGAGAGAACACGCACAAGCCAGGGGAGAGGCAGAGGGAGAGGGAGAAGCAGACTCCCCACCAAGTAGGGAGTCCAACTAGGACTGGATTCCTGGGACCATGACCTGAGCCAAGGCAGACACTTAACCAACTGAACCACCCAGGTGCCCCTACTTATTATTTTTTTTAAGAGTTTAGATTTTATAATGACATCAGTAGAAGATCTGTCAAAACAAACAAACCCAAAACCCATAGACGGCTGTGATTAAAATAATTTCTGTGTAAGGACTATATGATTTAACACCATTTGTTGAAAAGACCAACCCTTTCTGCACTGAATTGTTTTCTGATACCTCTGTTGAAAATCAATTGCCCATTCTGGACTTTCAATTTTGTTTCATTGACCTATGTTCTATCCTTAGAGTATGCATTCAAAAAATAAAATTAAAAAGGGAAAAAAGCAAAACTGAAAGCACTCTGAAAGAAATGAACCTAATCACACAGCAAATTGGTAACATAACCATGGAGAATTATTTCATGTGACTTAAAAAACAAAAACAAAAACAATAAACTGCATAGACCAGGGCCCCTGGGTGGCTTAGTCAGTTGGGCGTCTGCCTTTAGCTCAGGTCGTGATCCCAGAGCTCTACGTAGAGCTCTCTGCTCAGAGAGGAGTCTGCTTCTCCTTCTGCCCTTCCCCCACCTCTGCTTGTGCTCTCACTGGATCTCTCTCAAATAAATAAAATCTTAAACAAAAACAAAAAATCTCCATAGGTCTACAAAGTACAATCAGATGAGTTCTGATATATGTGGGATTACCACCCCAATCAAGATACAGACTATTTCCATTATCCTAGAAAGTTCCTTTCTAGTTAATCCCACACTTTCTGCCTCGAGGAAAATAGTGTGCTGATTTCTATAACCATTAACTAATTTTACCTATTCCTGAAATTCATATAAACGGAATCACACAATTTGTACATTTTTGTGTCTGGCTTCTTTCACTCAACACAATGTTTTGAGATTAATCCATATTGTCACATGTAATGTTAACCTTAAAAATAAGTGTCAGGATTTTTTTGTTAGTAAAGATGGGTTTATTCAGAATAGCAGAGAATTGCAATTCAGGACATTCAAGAGAACAAAGGAGAGGACTGCTCTCTATTATAGAGGAATGGGACGTTATAAACAAGAAATCCATTGAGTAAACTGGGAGTTCCAAGTATAGTGGCTTTTCGTTAGCTAAGTTGTGTAATTTCTCATTGGCTGGTTTGTTGCTGGAGGAAGTGAAAAATCTATCCTCCTCCTGGCGTAATAAGGTAATATGGACTTGCAAGGTATCCTCTCTTCCTTTTTTAAAAAAATTATTTTATTTTTTATTTTTTTAAAAGATTTATTTATTTTCAGAGAGAGCACGGATGTGAGTGCAGGGAGCAGGGGCAGAGAGAGGGGGAAAGAATTCCAAGCAGAGACTGCACTGAGCTCAGAAACAGACTCAAGGATCTATCCCATAACCCCAGCCGAAACCAAGAGTCAGATGCTTTAACCAACTAGGTCATGCAGGTGCCCCTTTATTTATTATTACTATTTTTAAAGATTTTGTTTCTTTGAGAGAGAACACAAGAGCAGGGGGAAGGACAAGGGAGAGGGAGAAGCAGGTGCCCCGTGGAACAGGGAACCCCTATGTGGGGCTCCATTCCAGGACCCTGAGATCATGACTGGAGCCAAAGGCAGACACTTAACCAACTGAGACATGCAGTTACCCCTGTAGATGCCCTCTTAAATTTTGTTTTTAAATCTCTCTTTTTATCATTTTAGAGTTATTTATTTATTTATTCATAAGAGACACGGAGAGAAGCAGAGACAAAGGCAGAGGGAGAAGCAAGCTCCCTGTAGGGAGCCTGATGGGGGACTTGATCCCAGGACTCCGGCATCATGACCTGAGCCAAAGGCAAACACTCAACCACTGAACCACCCAAGCGTCCCACCTTTTTTTTTTTTTTAAGTAGGTGCCACATCTGGAGTGGAGCTCAACATGGGGCTTGAACTCATGCCCCTGGTCAGATGTCTAACCGACCGAGCCATTCAGACACCCCTTTAAATTTTATTTTTAATTTATTTTTAGGGATGCCTGGGTGGCTCAGCAGTTTAGCACCTGCCTGCCTTGGGCCCAGGGTGTGATCCTGGACTCCCAGGAGCCAGTTGTGCATCAGCTCCCTGTGTGGAGCCTGCTTCTCCTTCTGCCTATGTCTCTGCCCCCCCCCATCTGTGTCTCTCATAAATAAATAAATAAAATCTTTAAAAAAATTTATTTAAAAAAGATTTTATTTTATTTTAAAGGCTTTTTGGTATTTTTTAAGGATTGTATTTGTTTATTTGAGACAGAGAACATGGGCATGGGGAGGGACAGAGGAGAAGCAGACTCCCTCCTGAGTCTAACTTGGAAAGGGGGGATCCTAGGATCCTGGGACCATAACCTGAGATGAAGGAAGATGCTTAACTGAGTGAGCCACCCACGAGCCCCTTTAAATATAACTTTCAATTTATTTTTAAAAATATCGTCTTTTAGATATTTTTTTTACATTTTAAAATATTTTATTTATTTATTCCTGACAGACACAGGCAGAGGGAGAAGCAGGCTCCATGCAGGGAGCCGGATGTGGGGACTAGATCTCGGGTCTCCAGGATCAGGCCCTGGGCTGAAGGCGGCGCTAAACCGCTGAGCCACCCCGGCAGCCCTAGAAATTTTATTTTACTTTTGATTTTTGTTTTTCATTTTATTTTTTTAAATACTTTATTTATTAGGGCAGCCCCGGACAGACACACACAGCCCCGGACAGACACACAGAGAGAGAGAGAGGCAGAGAGAGAAGCAGGCTCCATGCAGGGAGCCCGACGTGGGCCTCGATCCCGAGTCTCCAGGATCACACCTTGGTTGAAGGCGGCGCTAAACCGCTGGGCCACCGGGGCTGCCCTAGAAATTTTATTCTTGTCATCTCCATCCCCAATGTGAGGATGGACCTCAAAATCGCCAGACAGAGTTGCAGGCTCTAAGGACTGAGCCAGCCAGGCCTCTCCGCCCTCCACTACGTCTTATTATTGGATCAGCAATTGACAGATTGATAGGACATAAGAGCTCCCCCTTCTGGCTTTTCTTTTTTAAAGATTCCATTTACTTGACGGCACAAGCACGGGGAGAGGCAGGCCGAGGGAGAGGGAAAAGGAGGCTCCTGGGTGAGCAGGGAGCCACATGCAGGGCTGGATCATGAAGCCCAGGATCATGATCAGAGCCAAGGGAAGACGCTTAACCAACTGAGCCACCTAGGTGATCCTTAAAGGCGGTTTTATTTATTATTTTTTTTAAAGATTTTATTTATTTATTAATGAGAGAGGCAGAGACACAGGCAGAGGGAGAAGCAGGCTCCATGCAGGGAGCCCAACGTGGGACTCGATCCCGGGTCTCCAGGATCAGGCCCTGGGCTGAAGGCGGCGCTAAACCGCTGAGCCACCCAGGCTGCCCTTATTTTTTATTAAAAAAAATATTTTTTTTTTTTTTTTGTAATTTCTAGGCTCAACCCAGGGCTGGAACTCATGACCCTGAGATCAAGAGCTGCATGCTCTTCCAACTGTGCCAGCCAGGTACCTCCAGTGATTCTATTTTAAATGAGGTTTCCTTGATTATTTTTCACAATGCCAGCAATTCCTTTTTGTTTTATTGCCGAATAATTTCCATTGTGTGAATGTGCTTGAAAAAGTCAATGTTATGGGATCCCTGGGTGGCGCAGCGGTTTGGCGCCTGCCTTTGGCCCAGGGCCCGATCCTGGAGACCCGGGATCGAATCCCACGTCGGGCTCCCGGTGCATGGAGCCTGCTTCTCCCTCTGCCTATGTCTCTGCCTCTCTCTCTGTGTGTGTCTGTCAGGAATAAATAAATAAAATCTTAAAAAAAAAAAAAAGACTAATGAAAGATGTAACGACCAGATGCACGTCCTGGTCTCCCTTCCGTACCTCGCAGACAGCGGGGCTCCCCCAGGGCACGGCTGAGAGCCGTCAGGCGCCCCACGGACCCCGGGCCCCGGCGCACACCCGCGGCGCACAGCCTTCCAGGCACCCTGCTCGGTGCGAGCACCTGGCGCCGCCGGACGTCCTTCGCCGCGCTCGTGCCGGGGCTCCCGTGCTCAGGCAGGGCCCTGCTACGAAGGCCTCCGGGCCCCACCACCCCAGACGGCTAGAAACTTCCCCCAGATCTCAGGGGCCGTCTTCCCCGACAACCGACTGCGAACTCAGCCGCTGTCTTGAACGCTGACACCTCTCCAACCCGTTCGCTCGCACGCACTTAAACCTCAATACTTGTTTGCTCCATACGTCCACAAGAACACGCCGCGGAGGCAGCAATGCTCCTTTTCGCGGAGACCGCGGGCGCCTCGCCCCAAGGCTCCACTCCTCACGAGCCCACCTCCCTTCCTCCAGCCATCAACCACCGTCAGCCCCCGCCCCCCCTCGAACCATAGATTTGAGCCACTCGCGGTAAGAGCGGGCTAGGAGGGCGGCTCTTCCGGGTCCTGTCTGCGCGACGCGACCTCCGGGCCTCTATGACCCGTGCTTCCGCTCAGGAGAGCAGAGCCGCCCCTCTTCCGACGCTCCAGGCCCGCCCCGACGCCGGCGGTGACGGAAGCACGCCGGGGGTGACCTCACCTTCCAACATGGCGGCGGCGGTAGATTAGGGCCGCGGGTCGAAGCAGCTGCCGCCGCTGGGGGACCCTGTCGGAAACGACTGCCGCCGCCGCCGCCGCCGCCGCCGCCGCCCGCTCCATCTCTTCTGGGGCAAGGGGCCAGGGCCAGGTGAGGGGAGTGAGGTCGCGGGCGGGCAGAGTTGGGTCCTCGTCCCGCTCTTGAGGCGGTTTCCACTGGGCAGGAAGGTGTCCAGAGATCGCCGAACCACCGCCTCCCGGGTGGTTCCGACGACGCGTGAGTGAGTGTCCGTGAGCCCGTGGCTGAGGGAGAGAGTGCGTGTGAGGCGGCGCTCCCGTGCCGGGGCCTCAGAGCCGCAGGGGTCCACTCGTTCGCACCCGGACCTGAGCGGCCCCGCCGCGGACGCTGGCCCAGCGGGCTGCCGGAGGCGGGGGAGCCGGGGCGGGGGAGCCCGGCCTCGGCCCGGCACCGCCGCTCTTCGCCGCCGAGACCTTCACGTGGAGAGCCGGTGCCCGTGTGCGCGGCCGGGCTGGGGAGCGTGCGCCGCCGGGAGGAGGGGGCCGCCTCGCGCGACTCTTGCCGTGGCCGGCGGTCAGCGCTGCGGGCCTCGCTGTTCCTTCTCACAGCGGCAGGAAGGTGTTAGCCTTCGTTCTCTGCTGCTGTGACATCCGTCGGCGCTAGGACGTACTTCTCCGAGAAGTCCGCCCTCGGATTCCTGGAGGAAGTACGGTTCCCGCTAAGGCGTTTCTTCCGTTGGCATTTACCCTCTTGCTCTTCCAGGGAGATTCCAAGTTTTCCCTTCATAACCAGCTAGAAGGAAGACTCCTAGAGTCTTCGAGTTGAGGTTTGACTTGGGTTGGAGATCGGAAGGATCTGGCCGGTCGCTCACACCCTCGTCCCTGGACCTTGGTCTTAGCCGCTCCCCGCACCAGGATTTGTCTATCTAAGATAGCGATCTCGCTGTCTTTTTAGAAGTCTTAAACCGAACGGACGGTGACCACCTCCGCCCCCCTTTTCTTGCTTTAAACAAACGAAGCCGTTTTGCGAAATTGTCGGTAAGATTTCCTCTGGAGGTTTGTGTGAACCAGCATGCTGGTCTCTGCCCTGACCTGTTGTGACCTTGGATGAGTTGCCACACCCTTCTAGTACCTTCTTTTTTTATCTCCCAGAAAATCAAGCACATGTTTTTGTAGGTACTAAACTATTTATACCTCATATACATAGTTGGGTAAGTGTACCGTGCGCATTTGCACCTGCCAATTGAAACTATTTAAGCCGTTATGAAATGCTCTCCATTTGATAATAGGCCAGTAAGGGTTTTGAAGATTCTTTGGTCAGGTACAACTTTCAGTTTTGTTTTTTTTTAAGTGATGCATTTTCTTATGGAGGCTTGTACCTCAGTAGTTGAATTGAGTTGAAGGATGTGTAAAGTTGAGTCCAGCCAGTTTTGTAAAGATGTTGCTCTCTAGCACATCAATTAATCACTACTAAATATCTCATACACGAAACTTTTAGGATAAGTAATACGCAACAATAATCATTGTTTTAAAAATCTATGTCTTATGAAATATTTTATTTATTTTTTAAAAATTATTTTATTTCTTTATCCATGAGAGACAGAGAGAGACAGAGAGAGAGGCAGAGACACAGGCAGAGGGAGAATCAGGCTCCATGCAAGGAGCCCCATCTGGGACTCCATCCCGGGTCTCTAGGATCAGGCCCTGGGCTGAAGGCCGCACGAAACCGCTGAGCCACCTGGGTTGCTCTCTTATGAAATATTTTAGACATAGAAAACAAATTTTAAACAGTCAATCTTGCTGTCCTGCTTTTTATCATTTTTCAATTTCATTTTGATTCATGTCTTATTCCAAAGAAATGATCACCAAGATTCTTACTTAAGACATATTATAGCGTTGAAGGGAGAGGTCTGTTACCAGACTCGCTGTTTTTTTTAACATCTTGAGACATAACTTTTTTTTTTTCTAAGATTTTATTTATTTATTCATGAGAGACACACAGAGAGAGAGAGGCAGAGACACAGGCAGAGGGAGAAGCAGGCTCCATGCAGGAAGCCCGATGTGGGACTTGATCCCAGGTCTCCAGGATCATGCCCTCGGCCAAAGGCGGGCGCTCAACCATTGAGCCACCCAGGCGTCCCCTTGAGACATAACTTACAACTCACCAATATCACAATTCAATGGCTTTTTTTTTTTTTTTTTTGGACTGGTTTTAGTATATTCACAGAATGTACAACCACTGCCGCACTTTTCATCAACCTCAAACAAAACCCCGTACCCATTAGTCATTTTTTATTCCCAGTCTCCTTCACCTCCCCTACTTAGGCAACCACGGATTTACTTTCTGTCTATGGACTGACCAATTCTGGATATTTCATACAAACAGAATTATGCAATATGTGGTCTTTTGTGACTGGCCTCTTTTACTCAGCATGATGTTATCAGGGTTCATCCATGTTGTAGCATCTATCTGTCCTTTTTATAGCCACAATATGCCATAGTATGGATGTATGAATTTTCTTTATTCATCAGCTGATGGGCAGTTATTTTCACTATTTGGCTGTTAAATATTATGCTGCTATAACTATTCATGTGCAAGTTTTTATGTAGACATGTGTTTTCATGTCTCTGGCATATACCTGGGAGTGGAACAGAGCAATTGAATTTTATGCCTCCCTTTTATAAAGCTATCTACATATACATGGGAAGCCTAATTATTGTGAAAGACTGGGCCTGTGGGGAGAAGGGGAAAGTGAAGCATTCCTCTATAAAGTACATTATCTTTGAATCCCAACTGCTGAGTGAAAACATTTTGGGACAGCTCTGAAAACAAGATTGAACTAGAGCATTTCAATTAAGCATGTTTCAGTAGGAAAGGGACTGTCTACACTAGAATATTTAGTGTCTGCTGAGTTTTAAAAATGACACCTTTGCCCAGTTGCATTTCTCAGCTGGGTGGGGTGAATTTTTTTTTTTTTAAGATTTTATTTATTCACGAGACATAGAGAGGCAGAGACACAGGCAGAGGGAGAAGCAGGCTTCATGAAAGGAGCCCGATGTGGGGCTCGATCCCAGGACCCCGTGATCACGCCCTGAGCCAAAGGCAGATGCTCAGCTGCTAAGCCACCCAGGTGTCCTGGTCAGGTGAATTTTTAAATTTCACAGCTTTTATTAGGATTATTTAATTTTACTTCTCTTATTTTAGAGGAAGTCCTAGAATTCTATAGGGGCTAATAAAGTATGAATCTTTAAAAATGAAAGTTACTGTACTTAATGTTAATTTGTGGAACTTGAAACAAACTCTCTACTAAACCACCAGTGAGTCTTTTTTTCTTTAATTTTTTATTTATTTATTTATTTATGATAGTCACAGAGAGAGAGAGAGAGAGAGAGAGAGAGATCGGCAGAGAGAGAAGCAGGCTCCATGCACCAGGAGCCCGACGTGGGATTCGATCCAGGGTCTCCAGGATCGCGCCCTGGGCCAAAGGCAGGCGCCAAACCGCTGCGCCACCCAGGGATCCCACCAGTGAGTCTTGAGAGTAGAGATCTTGTAACCCAAAAACTTTGTTAATGTTTAAAATTGCAGCCCCCATGGCCCAGTGGTTTGGCCCTGCCTTCAGCCCGGGTGTGGTCCTGGAGAGCCGGGATAGGGAGCCTGCTTCTCCCTCTGCCTGTGTCTCTGCCTCTCTCTCTCTCTCTGTCTGTCATGAATAAATAAATAAAATCTTTTTTTTTTTTTAATTTTTTTTTTTTTAATTTTTATTTACTTATGATAGTCACAGAGAGAGAGAGAGAGGCAGAGACACAGGTGGAGGGAGAAGCAGGCTCCACGCACTGGGAGCCCGATGTGGGACTCGATCCCGGGTCTCCAGGATCGCGCCCTGGGCCAAAGGCAGGCACCAAACCGCTGCGCCACCCAGGGATCCCAAATCTTTTAAAAAATAAAATAAAATTCCAGAGTTTTGATTTGTGATTGAGTTATCTGTGGATTTTTTATTTTTCTTTTTGTAAATGGATTATGGATCTGTTCAACTCTATTACTGGAGTATATGAGTCTTATTATAATTTTAGTGGATGGAAATGGTCTAAAAACAAAGCTTCTTGAAATAATTAAAACATGTTAAATTGTAATGTATTTCTGTTTTGGCTCAATGGAGTTAAGGAATACAATAAAGCTATGGTATTGTAAATAGTATGCCTGAAGTGGGTCCTAGAAATGTCTATTTTCCACAAGCATCCAAGGTGATTATGATCAGACGAGTTTGGGAAACAACTAAAAAAACTCTCATGTTGCCGATTTGCTTTCCATAAGAATTTAAAGTAGAGTTTAATAGTTGCTACCTACCTTCTGGTTATAGTTCATAAAATAGGCTTTAATTCCTGTAGTACCATCAGTGCGGGCATCCTGGAATTTGCACTGGTATTCATGATGTATTCAGATGTATTCATGATAGAAATCTGGTTAAAAATAAATAAAGCAAAGTATTTATTGTAAGTTGTGAATGTTACATTTGTTACTGAAGGATGTTTTATTTCTGCCTGGTTTTGGAGACACCACCAAATGAATGTATAAACATAGGATTAAGTTACTCCAAGCTTCCTCCTGCTGTCCATTTGGCCGGCACCTGCTTGTAACTTAATAGAGGAGCAAACTAAAGGTGTAAGGCAGAGAAGGAAACAGCTGGTAACAACAGATATAGTCAGTGGCTTGTTAGATTTGTGCAAAAGTTAGTTTTTATATTTATTTTCTAAATTTTTATTAGTTTTAAGTAAGCTCTATGCCCAACACCAGGTTTGAACTCATGACTACCAAAATCAAGAGTTGCATGTTCCACTGACAGAGCTAGCCAGGCACTCCAGTAGTTTTGTTTGTTTGTTTTTAAATATTTTATTTATTTATTCATGAGGGACACGGAGAGAGAGAGGCAGAGACACAGGCAGAGGGAGAAGCAGGCTCCATGCAGGGAGCCCAACGTGAGACTGGATCCGGAGTCTCCAGGATCATGCCCTGGGCTGAAGGTGGCGCTAAACCACTGAGCCAGCTGGGCTGCCCAGGAGTTTTTATATTTAAAACTATATTTAAACTTCAGGATACAAGAGCACTTATACCTAATTTGAATTCTAAAAGAGTCT